CCATGGCAATGAAACGATATACGATAGGATGAATGTAAAGCTAATGTTCTCCCATGTAAACTATCACATGATTCACAATAAAACATAACAACAAAACCCCTATGGAGTTCTACTCTGAAACACAGCAATTAACAATAATATAGTAAGGTAAGAAAGTATGGTTAAAAGGTGATGATAGGGTTCTTTAATCAATCAGATCTTGTTGCTGTTAAGTCAGTTCCAACTCATATAACAATGCTGTAGAGTGTTTCCGAGGAGTGGCTGGTGGGTTTGAACCACCAACCTTGCAGACTCTATTTGTAAATACTGACCTCCGTAGGATGAAGTTATGTTGTCACTATTGCTGTTGCTTAGTGCCGTTGAGTCAGTTCAAACTTAACAGAGTTTCCAAGGAAACCTGGTGGGGCTGAACTGCCAACCTTGCAGTTAGCGTAGTGCTTACCCTACAACACCACTCCAGGACTCCTAGATCTTTTGTTGTTATGTAACTCTGAGTCAGTTCTGACTCACAAAGATCCTATAGAGGGTTTCCGAGGAGCGCCTGGTGAGTCTGCACAGTGCGCACTGCTGACCTTGTGGTTCAAACCAGCCTTATGGACGAGTACTTATTGTACAGTGTCACACCAGGACTCCATAATGTCACTGCCAGAGCCCAAACCAAGCAGCAACTAACATGGAATCCTGGGCATGTTTTTAAATGTCCTCATCTGTAAGATCTGTGATGGAGCCCTGGGGTGGCACTGTGGGCTGATGCACTGGACTACTAAGTCAATTTGAATCTCAAGGTTCAAGCTCACCAGCTGCTCCTCAGAAACCCTATACAGGGTTGCTAGGGGTCAGAACCAGCTCTATGGCATCTACCTATGACAACTAGATACATGCTAATGGTACGTTATAGGGTTGTTGTGAGGATGAAATGAGAACGGAGTTATAAAGCACTTAGCCTAGTGCTAGGCACTTATGAAGCACTCAGTAGATGCCATTAACATTTAATTAGCAAACACTTCGTCACTGTCATTGGCCAATCCTCTTTGGAACTCTCTTCTAAGAAACTGCTTTCATTGTTACTTTATGAGACATAAAAATCTCATTTAAATAAAAAACACTGCCATCAAGTGGATTTCAACTCATAGTGACCCTGTAGGGACAGAACTATAGTTCCAAAGCTATAAAGCTTTATAAAAGCAGACCATCTTCATCTGTCTTCTGCAGAGCAGCTGGTGGGTTCAAACCAACTGTCCAATACTTAACCCACATGCCAAAAATCGAATTAAGGTCACATCATTTTGACCTACAAGTGTTACTCAGCCCAGTTACCACATTATTGAAAAAAGAAGAAAACAAAATTCTCTTTCAGCAGTTTCCACAAGTCCAATAACACTCAAGGGACAGATCTTGAATGGGCACCAGCTCTTGGTGCAAACTTACAGAGGTGTTCCAACTCACAGCTGGCGCAAACAGCCGCCACAGCTGGTCAAGCGAGACAGTAACCACCTGTGTGAATGCTGACGCGTTTCTCAGTCAGTCACGTGCCCTTCCTGTCTGAGGGAAATCCACTAATGCAGGGGAGGTGCTCCCAGCTGCTCTGACTTCCTGGGGCCCTGCAGCCAGGACGCTTCCTCCCAGCTGTCAGAACACCCTGAATTACTAGCTGCTTCACTCCAGCACTTTCCCATCCTCTGCCAAGGCTCACACCTTCAACTGTTGGCTTATACTCTTAACAACGCAGTGTTGAGAGCTAGGAGGCTAGAAGGCCTTCCTGGGGAGACAGCAAAACTCCTTAGGGCAGTCATCAATCACCCTGAAAGCTGAAAAAGGACAGCTCTCGTGGGCAGGCTCTGGAGGACTCAAAGAGAAACACTGATGGTTTCAATTCGGAAATGGGTCTAGACCAGTGTGCACTCCTCCCTTGGAACTTGTTCAGAAATCATAGGCAAGTGCAAAAGGAACCCAGAGGGTCATAGCAGTGTACTGGAGGGGCAGCACAGAAGGGGGCGGGAGGGGAGGCATAGGAACGCTTCACTTAGTATTTCAACCAAAAAGAGAAACAAGTCTGGGGTCCAGGAAAGGAAAAGGTGGCCTACTAAACTCTTCCCAGCTCCCTTGCCTGGCCCCGCTGCTCTCTTAGTCCCAGACTATGGCATTACAAAGTGAGTACAGGCAGACTGTGGAAAATACTGTATTTATGTACACAGGAAGGACAGCTGCAAACCCCGCACAGAGGAAATACCACCCCAATGAAAAACCTTAGCAGCAAATTCCTGCCTCCCTCGGCACTATCAGCACAGGCTGAGCTGGAAGGTTGGCCTCCTTGTCTCTGGGCACACCCATCAGACTTTCCCCACTGGGGAATTCCAAGTGGGGGCAGGAGAAAGGGACTGCAGCCAGAACTGGGGTCCAGTGGACACAGAGGTACCTGGGAGCAGGCAGTGACTCTCCTAAGGGTTAAAGTGGGAATGATGCTGGGATTCCTTTCTGGGTCCTCTGGGCTGGCTTACTGAGGGCTGGCAGCAGGGTGGGGACTGAATAGAGGGAGCTGACGGTCATGGGTTCATGGGCGCACGTGCATGTGTGTGGTGGGACACAGGTTGTACATTTCTCTTGTGCCTGATGCCGTCCTCTCTCTGACAGCAGTCGCTACATGGACATCTCTTTCTGTGGCTGTGAATGCAGAAAGTGAGTGTTTCTCCAAACAATAGCTGTGATTCAGCAACATGGTGAAGGCAACAGTTGTCCCAGGGAGGTAAGACATGACTAGGGGAGTGATTTGCTCCAATCAAATTTCCTTGATTTTTTTTTTTTTTTCCTTTTTAAAAACAAACAATAGGCTGGTGACAAGTATAGTGGCTCAAAAGTGACATGGTTCCAATTCTGATATTACCCTCAAAGAGTTTCCCTTCTTGGCCTCCCAGATACAAAGCATCAGCAGCCGTAGGCCATTCTTGCAGCTGTGAATCTGATTGCTACCTGCCTTCTTCCCGGGGCCTCGCTACCTCTCCCATACCAACAGAGACTTCACATTTCCAGGGTTCCTCCTCTCAGACCTGGGCAGGACGGACCTCATCTGGAAGGTCTGAGCAACCCAAGGTGTTGGGGGCTAAGTGCCCAGCACAATGTCCAACCAAAGGGTCTGATCCTATACATTGGATTTAGGGGCTGAGTTGAGAGGGATCTCCTTGAGCTCCGTCCGCATACACAGGTACTCCCCGATGACAGCCATGAGTGCAATGCACACGGCTTGGACCAGCCACCAGGTCAGCGCCGAGGGGAACCGGGAGCTGTAGAACCAGCAGCCCAGGAGGTGAAAGAAATGAACAGTGACAGTGAAATCCAGGCACTGCTTCCCTCGCCGAATGAAGTACAGCAAGCCCAGGGCACTGTGGGGAGAGGACAGCAGCGACATGTCACTGGGTTCTCCTGGCTCTAGATTAGCTTAGTGGGGGAGTGGGGACAATTAGAAGGCCAGCATAGTGATCAGAAGCGAGCGAGACAAGTGTGAAGTGAGGGCTTCGGTACTAAATGCCAAGACGAACTGGCGGATATATCAAGAGTGGATCAGGCTGGGTAGAAGTAAAAAGTACAATGGTAATTGTCACTCATGGGGTCCTAGGGACTTTGTGGTACTCTGACGCATTCATATTCCATCTCGAGTGAGGGACAGCAGTTAACTGCTCCTAGGCAAATGTTATCATGCTAGAAGGTTAGTCAACGGATCTTCCCATTTGTCAAAAAAAGTCATATCTAGATTTTTATAGGAAATATTTTGATTTTCAATTAACTGAATAATCTATATGCCATATGCAAGCTCATATGGGTAAGCCAAACAGAATGTGTCTAGGAGCCAAATTTAGGGCAAAATCAGCATGCCAGTTTTTAACCCCTAATGTACAGTCAAGAATAGTAGTAATGTGTAAGGTATTGTTCTAAATACTTCCTGTGAATTAACTCCCAGAGCCTGAGCCCTTCATCGCTGTGCTAAACTGCCTCTCAAGAAACACGACAGTAGTCATCAGTGACCTGAGAGGTGACCATCAACACCCTCAGTGTATAGATGAGTCTGGGGGCCAGAGGAGGGAAGTAACTAGGCCAATGACACACATTTCAAGATTAAAACCCAGTTCTAATTCCCAGCCCAATCCTTTCCTCACCTCCCTCCATGTTAGGAAAGTGATCGGAGATGGAAGCTGGCCCACTCGCAGCAAACACACAGTAAGAAACATTAAGACTTGTCCATTATCTTAAGCTCTAAAGTCCAAACAGCAAAGCAGGGAGCCCCAGTGGTGGAGCCAGCTGTAGAACTGGCCTCTGACACCCATGACAACCCTCCACCACTCCCCAGGAACAGAGGTCTAGCCCGTCTCATTTCCAAATTTAGGAACTGAGTCCTAGTGCTAAGATCCCACAAGTCAAATAAGCAAAACTGGTGATACTCACCAGGTAAGGGCGTTAAGGATGAAGGACATCATGGAGAGCCGGCCTGGAGGGGTTGAGAAGCCCAGGATCTGCGGGTGAATCACAAATGGAAACATGCTAGAGAAGGGGCTTCCCAGAATTCCCAGCTGCAGGCTCTCAACAGGCCTCCTGAGGAAGGAGCATTCTTCCCAGGGCACAGAACACAATGCCCCTTCATCTGTATGGCAACTTATTGCTACCTTTCCCAGGCATCCTTATGCTATCTCATTTGACCCTTGCAGCAGGAGGGGAGGCATCATCATCATTTTATAGAGGAAGAAATAAATGTGAAGCAACTTGTCCAAAGTAACACAGTAAACAGGCAGCAAGAGTAAGGTCTAGAACAGGATTTAGCAAACTATGGCCTTGTGGACATTTTTGAAAAGAAAAGTTTTATTGAAACCATATCTATTCATTTATCATCTATGGCTGCTTGGGGCAACAATAGGACAGCTCATTAGTTATAACCTAACATTTTAATTACCTCACTCCTTAAGGAAAGGTTTGCTGGCCCCTGTTCTAGGATTCAGACTGCAAGCCTCTTAATAAAGCTAGGGATTCCCACATGGCCTAGCCAGGATGACATTCCTGGCATTACCTGGCACCTGGTAAATATGCCCTTGACACAATCCTACTGAATGCCAAATGTTGTTATGTGCCGTGGAGTCGGTTCCGACTCATAGCGACCCTGTACTGGGTTTCCGAGGCTACAAATCTTTACAGGAGCAAAAAACCTCATCTTTCTCCCGCAGAACAGCTGGTAGTTTCGAACTGCTGACCTTGCGGTTCGCAGGCCAATTCATAACCACTACACTACCAGAGCTCCTTGAATGCCAAATATCTGCACTGTTATTTGCAGATGACAAAGGCCTTTGACATTTATTAACTCATCCTCAGAACCACTTCTCAAAGTCAATATTATTATGCCTTTTCTGGATAATAACTCACCCATCACCAACTTCTTAGACATCTACACCTCTCTTTGAAGTACCTTCCTATGTCTAGGTTCGGAGCCTTATAACATTTTGCTGAGTGTGACATGATAGGATTATTCTGCCCAGTTTCCAGAAGGTCGCACAAGGTAGTCTGTACCACAACTACTATGTTCGGGCTTAGACTGAACCCTATGCCTTTCTGAATCCAAACTGCAGGACCTTTGTGCAGCCAACAACCTCTCAGGCTTCGGGTCTCATTATTTTGCATAAAAGGAAAACTGGGGTTCAGAGAGGCAATAGACACCACTTGACACCACCCCCACCCCCAGTCACACAGACAGCAATTAAAACATTAAAGTAAGGACTCCAAAGTCCAGGCTGTTTCTAATGTATATTCTTATCCACCCCTGACCCTGGTGGCGCAGTGGTGGAAGCACTCATTAAAAAACGGGTTCAACCCCAGCTGCGCCACAGGAAGCATATGGGGCAGTTCTACACTGTCCTATAGGATCACTATGAGTGGAAATTGACTTGAGGGGTAATGGGTCCTCAATTTCTCAATTTGCCCCCGCCCCCGTATACTGGACTTAGAGAAGTGAAGTCACTTTCTCAGCCAAGGTCTCAGAAAACGTTATCAGGGTCGTCTGGGATGCCAACTGCTTTATTGTCACTTGCAGGTCCTCTCTTTTGTTTTAACCTACCTCTCTCTATCAGTCATCCCATTTTATGGATGAGGCAACTGAGGTTAATCAGAAAGGTGACATCATTTTCCCAGGGCCACAAAGTAAGCAGGTGGCTCAGAGGAGCCTAGAGCTCACTTGGTGAGGCCGGAGATCCAGCTCGTGCCAGCCAGGAAACCTACCTCGGAGTCGAACATCTGGTCCAACGAAGGACTGCTGCGCACCAGCGCGTCCACCAGCGCCAGCCACAGGCCCAGCGAGCCATAATAGACGGTCTGCATGAGGACGATCTGAGACAGGATCAGCACCGGATCCCACACGTAGCTGCGGAACTGGCCTGCCATGCTGGCCCGCGGAGCCAGGCCACTGCCCCGGCCTCCGTTAGACCCGCCGCGCCATGGGCGCCGGGCCGCCCCGGCACCTGTGGGGACAAGCGCCGGGCCTCAGCCAGCCCATCGTCACCCTGGCAACGCCGCCACTCCCGGGAGGAGGGACTGAGATTGAAGGGACGAGCCCATTCCGGGAGGGGGGGAGGGCGGAGTGGACAGACCCATTCCCAAAGCGAGGGGAAAGTCTCCCGCTCGGGCTGCTCGGACCCCGCCCGTACTCAAGCTCCTCCAGAGTTCACTTACGCGCGACAGACTCGAGGATCGACGCGTCCAAAGGCGACCCGGTCTCACCCGTAGAGCTCCGAAACCGCACTGACAGACAGGACCATGGAGAAGAGGCCCTAACGGCCTAGAGAGGCAAAGCTCCAACTACGGCGCAGCTGTAGCATCTGCGTTGGAAGAAAGTATTTCCGGGGACGACGGCGAAGGGGCGGGGCTGACGTTGCGCAGACGTAGTGGATCAAACGAGGGTAAGGGGAGCCGAGAAGCGAAATATGCACCTACGCTGAAAGAAGAGTGAGGGCGAACGGAAATGAAGCTAGAAAGTAGTAGAGCTTGCGTGCCCTCTAGAGGGGAAGTTTAAATAAAAGGAGAGCGGCTAGGGAGAGAGTTTAGGGTACTATGTTTGTAATTTAACGAGGTGACTGTTTTTTGTTTTGTTTTTTAATGCTTTTTTCTTTCATGTGTAAATTTAAGGAAAAGCATTATTTTTAAATAAACTCTCCAGTTCTAGGTTGAAATTGAACAAAATCCAAAAATTGAAGAAGGTGTGGTAGGAAAATACTTTTGGGAAGCGTTTGTTACCTTTTTCTTTCTAAAGTTTTTATTGTGAATTGAGTGAAATTTTACAGGGCACATCATCAGTTTTGCATTCAACAAATCATATACTTTGTTTCATTACAATGATTATAATCCCCTCCATGTACCTCAGTTGACAGTATTTCTCCATTTTAGCACTTTTTAAAAAACACTCAGGCATATATAATAATTTACACCACCCAAGGGCACATTCTGCAAATCTGCCTCCTGGCGGCCAGCTCGCAGTGCCTCTCTTGCCCGGCGACCGTTTTCATCCTAGATTCTCAACGTTTTTTCTAGTTAGATTCTGAGATAACTTGAACAAGCCCTTTCAAATATACATGATTTCACTACTGTTCCCCTTTTACAGGTGATTAAATTAAGGACTAGAGAAAGAAAGCTGCATAGTTAAAGACATAGGGTTCGTGGTAATGTAAGAATTCGAATTCAGATGTTTCCAGCACCAGCGCTGTGCTCCTGTCCCACAAGGTTTACTGGACGCCATCAAGGTTGGGCCATATGCTAATGGGACAGTCCCTGCCTTCAGACACTGTTCACAATCCAGATTTATTAGAAGGCAGAGGGGTAGGTGTTTTATAAAGTGAGTATTCAATGGAAAATGCACAGGTCTTGAAGTCACATCTAGGTGTGACTCAGTCTATGCCCAGGACTGTTTTATCTCAGCCTTCTCCTCTGAGTCCTATTGTGTGCACAGTCAGTAAATATTTGCAGAATGAGTCAAGAACAGAGAAAGGAAAACAACAAATTGATGAGTCAGTTTCATTTCTGAACCAATAGACCCAAACTGCTCAACTTCATTGACACATTCACTGATGCTCTGAATTGAAGAAGAGGGAACTGCTTTCAAGAAAACAGCCTGATTTTAGAACCAGCTCACCACTTACTAGCTACGTGACTGAGCAAACCACATCTTTAAACTTCAACGTCCCTGTTTATGAAATGAGCTGGACAAGTGTAATGTTTTCCAACATTTAGTCCATCTCCACTAATTGTGGTTGTTGCTAGTGCCATAGACTGGTCTCTTTGGATAAATTGTACGAATTATGAGAGACGAATCTTGTCATCCTGGCTTCTAAGGGGTATTCTACTTGTACTTCTGCCAACACAGATTTATTTGTTCTTCTGGCAGTCCCTGGTACTTTTAATATCTTCTCCAGCACCATAACTCAAATGTGTCAATTCTTCCACGATCCAAATTTCACATACATAAAAGGCGATTGAAAGTACCATGGCTTGGGTTAGATGTACCTTAGTCCTCAAACTGATATGCGTGCTCTTCACCTCTTTAAAAGAGGTCTGTGCAGCTGATTTCCCTAATGCAGTATGTCCTGTGATTTTTTGATTGCTGCTTTTATGAGTGTTGCTTGTGAATTCAAGCAAAATGAAATCTTTGACAACTTCCATCTTTTCTCCATTTATCGTGATATTATATATTGATACAGTTGTGAGGATCTTTTCTTTACATTGAGGTGCAATTCCATACCGAAAGCTGTGGTCTTTGATCTTCATCAGTTAGTGTTTTAAATCTTCTTCGATTCCAGTAGGCAAGGTTGTATCATCTGCATTTTGCAGATTGTTAATTCTTCCTCTAATCCTGATGCCATCTTATTAGTATTATTCAGCTTCTTGGATTATTTGCTCAGCATACAGATTGAATAAGTATGGTGAAAGAATACAACTCTGGCATACACCTTTTCTGATTTTAAACCATTCAGTATCCCCTTGTTCTGTCCTAACAACTGCCTTTTGGTCTATGTACAGGTTCCTCATGAGCACAATGAAGGAATGCCTATTTTTTAAAATGTTATTCATAGCTTGTCATGATCCACACAGTCAAAAACTTTGCATAGTCAATAAAGCACAAGTAAACATCTTTCTGAAATTCTCGGCTTTCAGTCAACATGCATTTGACATCAGCAATGAGATCCTTAGTTTCACAGCCTCTTCTGAATCCGGCAGAATGTACTGTTGCAATCATTTTTTATTATCTTCAGCAAAATTTTACTCATGTGATATTAATAGTATTGTTCGATGACTGCCACATTCCATTGGGTCACCTCTGTTTGGAATAGGCACAAATATGGATCTCTTCCAATCAGTTGGCCAGGTACCTGTCTTCCAAATTTCTTGGCCTTGATGAATAAGTGCTTCCAGTGCTGCGTCAGTTTGTAGAAAGATTTCAATTTGTATTCTGTCAATTCCTGGAGCCTTGTTTTCTGCCAGTGCCTTTAGTGCAGTATGAACTTCTTCAGTAACATTGGTTCTTATCATATGCTACCAGTTGAAATGATTGAACACCTACCATCCAACTTCGAGCATCCTGTGTGGCTTTAAATCTTTGCAAGAGTAGAAAGCATCTTCAGAGGAGCAGTTGGTAGGTTCGAACCACCGATCTTGTCGTTTGCAGTCCGGTGCTTATCGTGTGGTGTCACCATGCTCCCTCTCCACTAATTATTCTACCATTAAAACAAAAACAAAACAAAAAACGTATCAGACTCATATAATGCCAATCAAAACTCCCGAACAGCATGTGGTAACTGTGTTATCATGTTGAGTTGATACAACTTCAGACAAAAGTAAAAAAAAATGTGAAATTTTATAAAGGGCATATGATTTCCCTTATCATTTGGAAATAACTATAAACAGTTCGTTCCAGCTCCAGTTTGAGAGTATTTAAGGCCCAAAGATTTCTGAGGTACTTTCCAGTCCTACTGTTTTTTTTAGCTGCTTCATTTCAGTTCAACAAACTGAATATATTCAAAACCCTCTGGTTCACTGATTACTCATAGTTTTCGAAAAAACATCTACTGTTTATTAAGTGCCTTCATGATCTTGTGCAGTCCTCACAATCCCAGAAGGTAGATATTAACCCGGTTGATAGAGATGCAAACTTATTGTACTGGACTGTTGTTGCTAAGTGCCCCTTCAAGTTAACTCCGACTCAGAGCAACCTTATGTACAACAGAATGAAACATTGCCCAGGGATTCTTGTGAAGTCCATTGTGGTTGCCACTGTGTCAATCTGTCTGGTTTAGGGTCTACCTCTTTTTCACTGACCCTCTACTTTACCGAGCATGATGTCTTTCTCCAGAACTTGTCCCTCCAGATAATATGCCCAAAATATGTGAGATGAAGTCTTGCCACCCTTGCTTCCAAGGAGTCTCTGGCTGTACTTCTTTCAGGACAGATTGGTTAGCTCTTCCGGCAGTCCATAGTGTATTCAATATTCTTTATCAACACCATAATTCAATGAACGCATCAATTAATCTCCAGTCTTCCTTATCCGATGTCAGCTTTCTCATGCGTGTGAAAAAATTGAAAAAACACTTTCAAGAGGTCTTGTGCAGCAGGCTTTCCGAATGCAATACATCGTTTGATATCCTGACTGCTGGTTTCATGACTATTGATTGTAGAAGCAAGTAAAATGAGATCTTTGACAACTTCATTCTTTGCCCCGTTTATCATGATGTTGTTTATTGGTCCAGTTGTGAGGATTTTTGTTTTTGTTACATTGAGTTATAATCCATACTGAAAGCTGTGCTCTTTGATCTTCAGCAATAAGTATTTCAAGTCCTCTTTGCTTCTAGCAAGCAAGGTTGGATCATCTGCAATCAAAGGTTGTTAATAGTCTTCCTCCAATCCTGATGCTGAGTTCAAGTTCTTCATATTGTGCAACTTCTCCGATTATTTTCTCAGCATACGCAGTAAGTATGATGAAAGGATATAACCTTGACACACACTTTTCCTGATTTGAAACCATGCAGTGTTCGCTTGTTCTGTTCTAACAACTGCCTCTTGGTCTATGAACAGATTCCTCATGAGCACAATTAAATGTTTTGTAATTCCCATTGTTTGCAGTGTTACCCATTGTTATGATCCACACAGCTCAGTGCCTTTACATAGACAATACGGCACAAGTAAACATCTTTCTGGCATTCTCTGCTTTCAGCCCAAATCCATTTTACATCCGTTTTGATATCCTTCTTTCTACATCCTCTTCTGAAACCTGCTTGACTTTCTGCCAGCTTGCTGTAGGTGTACTGCTGCATCCACTAGACTTGTTAAGTGCCATCAAGTCAGTTCGACCCCATAGCCACCCTGTATAGGGTTTCCGAGGAGCAACTGGTGAGCTTGAACTGTCGAACTTGTGGTTCAAACCAAAGTTTTCAGTCCAGCACATTAACCCACAGCGCCACACCAGGACTCCAATCACTGGACTACTAACCTTAAAATAACCTTAAAATGAGCCTTGGTGGCATAGTGGGTTAAGCATTGGGCTGCTAACTGCAAGATTGGCAGTTCAAACCCACAAACCAATTTGAGAGAGAAAGATGCCGTCTGCTCCCATAAAGATTTATAGGCTTGGAAACCCTATTTGTTAAGTGCTGTCAAGTTGGTTCTGACTCCCAGCGATGCTGGGTAGGGTTTCTGAGGAGCGACTGGTGAGTTTGAACCACCGACCTTGCGGTTCAAACTGGTCTGGCGGTCTAGTGCTTATCCTACAGCGCCACACCAGGAGTACTTCTATTTTGACCTGTAGGGTGTTTGTGAGTTGGAAAGCTACTTGACTGCAGTGTGTTTACTAACCTAACAGTTGGAATTCACTTAGGGACACCTGTGAGGAAAGATTTGGCAATCTGCTTACATAAAGATTACAACCAAGAAAACTCTACGGAATAGTCACCCTGAGTCAGAAGCCATGTTTTTTTTTGTTTGGTTTTTAATAGGTGAGGCAAGGGAGGCTCAG